AATGTGTTGTAAAAAAAATACCTTAATAGCTAAAATGAGATAAATTTATTTATTTAACTTCTAAAAAAAATTAATGGATCTGTGCCTTCCCTGTATTTCATGAGTACAATTAAAAATAACTTTTGTCATGCCCCATAAAAGTTCATTATGTTTACAGACTGCAATATTGTATGATGTGGTTTACCTTTGAAATTTCTTAGCTTGCTTGTACCACTTGAATGCCTTTGTACAGTCTGATTTGTGCAGGCAATTGTCCCAGGTGCTCTGTGCTGTGAGGTAGCTGCTTCTTGATACATCAAATCCAGTGGATGATTTGTTATGTTAGGTAATGTATCTTGCCAGTATTGATACATGGCCACCCCCTACTATAAAGAGCTGAAGAAAAAACAAGGACAAGATACTTTAGAAGACTTTTCTATCTATAGGTTGTGTGATATTAGGTAATGTCACCTCCAGGAGCAAGTAAAGGAGCTCTGTAACCAGATGAGGCCTGATCATTCATTTAATGTGTTGCTCTTCTGCTATGTACCGTCTTGCTTTTGCTATTGGAATCTCATTTGTATTTGCTGTCCCATCTTTTTTTCCATCTGAACTTCCTAGCTATGGGAAACTGGGCAAAAGGATATTATTTTTTTTACTCTTAGAGCATGATTCTTGAACTTAACATTTTAGAAAATATGGACATTGGCAAAATACTGAAAAGGTTACATTTGAATTTAGTTACTTCTGAATAGTCAGTAGAGATTAACAGCAAGGCATATTTATTTGTGTGACATTATAAATAAGGAAACATAACTTGCTAAGAAAAGTTGAATTATGTAATTTAAGAAAATTATTTCATACTACTTTATAGGTAGGAAGAAATGAAGGTGACTGAAATGCTGAAGAGAAGTGTAATTTCGTAACGATTGTGGGTTGTTTGGGGTTTTTTCCCAGAAAATCTCAATGTATGTATTAATTTAAAACCACAATAGAAAGAGTCCATCATTATACAGTTGAAGAAATTCTGCGTTTAATTGTGGAAGTTTTCAAGTTTTGACTCTTAGTAGTGCAGTTTGGAATCACCGTAGTCCAGCTGCAGTATAACTAGGCCCAGAAACAGAAACTGTTATACCTTAAAGTTCTAAGGTCTTACTGAAAAGGATTTGCCAACCCCTTCTAATAGACAAAAATAGTCATAAAATGAAGGTATGATTCAGGTTGGTAGGGGCTTCAGGAGGTCTCTAGTATGACTTCCAGCTCAAAACAAGATCAATATTAATTCAGATCAGATTGCTCAGGGTTTTGTCTTGACAGACTTCAAGGTTGAAAATTCCATGACCGCTGTGGGCAGTCACTGCCTAATTATCCTAACGGCCAGTAGTTGATAGCTCTCCTGTTTCATTTCCCAAAACTGGTTTTTCAGTCTTCCACAGTGGAGTTGAGTAGTAGGCTTGGATCCATCATGCTTATGTTCTTTCTACATAGAAGAACATAGGCTGGAAGGACAACAGCAGGTCAACTAGTCTGACTTAATCAGATGAGGTCCAGTTAGAACACATTGCTCAGGTTCTTACACAATTAAGTGTTTGCAAGTCATACTCCATAGTGGTCTGCCACCTGCTTAGTGCCTCCAGTAGCTCTTTCACTGGACTGCTCTGTAGGTTAACCAGAGAACACCCTTCACAGTGAGGCCACTTTTGCCATCAGTCCAGGGGAGAGGCTTTTCTTTCAGCCTCAAAGCCAGGTGGCTGTATCGCACCCCGGGAACAGCATCTGAGTGAAGGCCTCTTCTATGCGGGGAGTGCCTGTTTCAGCCAGTGCTGAAACAGGAACTGAGTCCTGTGCCACTTCAGGACCATTTTTTTTGCAGTCCTATTCTGCCTTCAGCAGAGCTTTCTGCCCCCTTGCTATGCAGCTGCCCTGTTAACTGCTGAAGTAATTATCTGAAATACGTAATTCTATACATTGTTGTAACAGTCTCCTTCTTAAAAGGAAAAAAAAAAAAAAGGCAAAACCAAAAAAAAAAACCACCAAAAACTAAAAAATACTGCAGAATTCCATGGGGGAACAAATCTTGGTTATGTCTCTAGTAATGGTTTTTACTTCCACATCACTTGCAGAACTTAAAAAATTTGAACTTGAGTCTGTTTTGGTTATTGCTTAAAAATAGACCATGTTGAGTAAGCATAGCTATTGATTCTTCTACAAGACAGAAGTATTTTTGTGGAGTAAAAGATGTCATTCTGGAGCCTTTCAATTTATTAGGTATTTTTGTCTGTTTTAGAAGTACTTAAGAGTAAAGACTGTTTTTTTTCTTAAAAAAGAGGAAAAAAATGCCCTAGCTCTTAATAATAAGTAAAGGTACAGCTGAAACCTTTTGTTAGTCTTGTTGCTATGCATCATGTTGATAATTCCTAGAAGAATTTCGAATTTTGACACTAGTAGCATAAGAAGCATTTTTCAGATACCAGCATGTTGGACTAACCTCTTGAAAAGGTTATGATAGATATATATGCCAAAAAAAGTACATGGGGACCTTATCAGCTTTTCACCAGGAGGGGCTTCAAGGACATAGATCTGACATACAAAAAGTTTTTCTAATCTATATTGCTGTGGCACCCGAGGGCTGACACAGAGTGGCTGTGAATGAATTCGTAAGAGATCATCTTTCTTGCAATCATCACAGTCTAGGTGAAGAGTACTGAAGCAGGGAAGAAAGGACTGTGACAGTCAATGATGTCGAGGCATGGGAAGTCTAGTCAGAACAATTCAAAGCTCTCAGATGAGTGAAGAGCCCTTGTTTGGTGACTACAGTAGCTGCTTCAACTAGATTACAAGGTTTTTCCTTAAAAGCTATGGAGCAGAAAGACTGCAGTATCAGGAGCATAGAATGACATGACTTGGAAGCATCTTTCAGAGAGGATGCTACCTTGTTAATCCTTGTTTGCTAATCCTTGTCCGCATTAGTGCAATTGTTTTTAACAGCAGGTGACAGCTGTGGTTGCAGTGAAACTAGCAGTGCTGTTTAGTTGTGAGCATAAAGTAGGTCAAACATGTTCTGTGCTTTCTTTGAAAGATAGACTGGGCGTTGTTCATAAACACCTGATCTTTGAAAAGCTAGTAAAACGTGTGTACATACACGCATGCGTGCACACACACATACAATTTTGGTATTGATGTATTTGAGGCCATCGAGGACTGGCCAGTGGCAGTTGTTAAGTCAGGGCATACTGCGTGATTCTGTAAAACGTTCATGCACAAACACCATGAAAAACCTATAGAATAGGCATGGTATTAAGCCTAAATAATTTAAAGGCCTGCATATGTTATAAACTTCTGCTGCCTAGGAACTGGATGAAAAATTCTTCACTTGATTTTTCTGTCCAGTGTCACATCTCTCGCCTCAGCCCATTATCAGTAAGTTAAGTAAGCAGGCTAAACAAAGTCTTCAGTACAGTTGAACTTAAAATCAGGGATTTTTAATGCTTAATATTATTACCTAGAAAAATTGTAGGATAACAGGACGCAAAGCTGTCAGGAATTTTGATTTAATGAGCTATGATTGGGCAACTTTGAAAGAGCTTACCTTGTAATAATTTTTCTCTGTAGTTCTCTGTTAGTTTTCTTGAGCTGACTGGAATTATACAGGAGTGTAGGTTTTTTGTTTCATGGAATAGTCCTGTAATTCAGATTTTCCACAGATGTAGAAACCCTTTATATTCAGCTTGTGTGTTTATGTGTATTGGAAATCACATCCTGGTCTGCTCAGAGCAATTATGGATTTCTGTTATATGTGAAAATTAGTGGCATGGACAATTTTTTTTATTGATGCAACCTTGCTTTTTGAGGATTGCAAGGAATACTGAAACAGTTTTCTAAAACAGCAGTGTGTCTTGAGCTTGTTAGAAACATTGGGAAGTCAATTTTCTTTTTAAAAGTCCAAGTGTCCTCAAAGGGTCTCTCTTGGCTTCCTCCATCAGCCATGCTTGCTACTCCTTTTCTCTTCCCTTCCCCCTCTTTTTTTGCAGAAAATCTCTGCAGCAGCAACTCATTGGGTGGCCAGTTGCCCTGTTTTCAAATCAGAGAGGTTTCTTGGAAACGTCCCAGCTTTGTATGATTTTGTTTCTGTTGGTATTCTCATTCGATCCAGTGCCTTGGACAGTGGCTTCTTACTGGTTTTCGCTGTCCTCAGCTTTTTAAATTAATTGCTTTTACTTTAAAAAATGTATTCATTTGTTCATTATCTGTGTTCAGATTTCTGATTTAAAGTGCTTGAAACAAGCTAATAAATACTTCTGCTTATTTTATTTATTTAATTGAATTTTATTTTTTTTTCTGTCACACCTTACCCTTTTTTTTTTTTGTGAGTTAAGGTATTTGCCAGTAAAGCAGATAGAGGAGCTAATCTCCAAGCACACCTGGACAGTAAAGTCAGCAGAGCATGTGATTATAACTCGTACATTCTGAGTGCAGGTCTGTTTTACTTGACTAGACATGTTCCAAAAAATTATGTAATGAAAAACAAAATTCACAAAAGCTTGTTATGAAAACAAGTTTGAATATTATACCATGATAAAGATTTACCTCATCTTTGTATTTGAAAGAATGATTTGTATAGAAATGTTGTTTGAACATAGGCTGTGTTCAAACACAAGAAAACGTTTAACCCTTTTTTGTGTGCATTGTGCCAAGACAATTTATGCAAATAAAACCATAATTAGTTTAAAAGTAATGTTTTCTATGCAATAATTAAAATATTTTGTTTTCTATGCTTTATCTGTGCTTAAATAGAAGTATACTACAAACTTAATGTATATTTGATCATTGTATCTTTAAATGAGATTATGTCATGCTTCAAGCCCTCAATGCTTGCTTCCCGTGGAAAGGTTGTAGGGAGAAACTAAATTCAATCAATGTAATCTCAGTTTATTTTTTCAGTATTAGTTGCAGCTGTCAGTTTTCATATGCTTCCAATTAGTTTAAAAGTATTCAACATTTATTTCTTTTTGGCATTCTAGGTTTCTTGCATTGACCTCTTGGAGAGTATATCATCTGACTTCCCTCATAATACTTGGAGTGCTAATTCTTCAGATCATGAAGGATTTGGTATTCTCGAGAATAAAAGGTAAGACAGTGTACTGATAGAGTTCCATGCTTAAACATCTGCAATTTGGAGCATGTCATTTCATTACTACAGCCAGGTTGATACCATGATTATTGTAAAAGTATTAGCTGATTTTAGAGAGAGATAGTAGGTCTATGAAGGTCTATTACCATTTTCAATGAAGTTTTGCTACACTTTATAGGAAGGGCATTAGGAGATTTCTTTAAGCATTTGGATGAGTATAATCGGTATCACTGAACAATCATTCTTTTTTCTATACTGCTAGGTCTGAAAATGAATTATTTTCTAAATTACAAAGTTTTCCTAAACATTCATACTTCTTCTGGCATTATTCTAATTATATGGAATTGGAAAGTTTGGGACATCCAATATAAATTGTAAATAGATAGAGAAATTATCTATTTTAACACGGTTGAAATAAGAAGTGAGCACTATTTTTTTTTTCTACTTCATGTAGCATTTAGTTTCCAGTGTGTATAAAGTCTTACATGGATACAGCCAATTTTGAAAGGGATTTTGCATTTGTTGGCTGGGCTGGTAGTTTTAGGTTTGTTTTTTTTTTTTTTTTTTTTTTTTTTTTTTTTTTTTTTTTTTTTTTTTTTTTTTTTTTTTTTTTTTTTTTTTTTTTTTTTTTTTTTTTTTTTTTTTTTTTTTTTTTTTTTTTAATTCCTGTCCTGTATTTCATTACCATCTTGAAAATTCTTTGAGAAAATGTTCATCATAAATCTGTAATTTTCATTCTTGGGAAGATTTTTTTCAAGTGTCTTATTTTGCCTTTTGTCCAATGTTGAATCCCATGCAAAGTGTTTGAAAAATCATCTTAACATGGTACAAAGGCAGGAAATAGGTGTCAGAGAAGCATGGTATTCCTCTTTGCTGTACTAACACATCATTTCTGACTTCCAAAGCCTATTGTTCCCTGCTAAGTTATGGCAATTATTTGCAGCCTTTTCTGAAGCATGATCTATTGTCATTGCCTCTTCTGGGAGTCTGGGTTACCATTCTGTTTCCTGCTTGAGCATTACAAGCTCAGAGGCCAAATTGTAAAGCTTAGCAGAAATTAATTTTTTAAGCTCTGTGTTGTATAAATCACCACAAGCATTGATTACCTCACTAGTGGGAAGGTAATGATTTAGGTAAATTTAATCTTACTTGTAATTATTTTTGTATTAACCCAATTCAAGATGCACTGCTTTTGTGTCTGTGTGATTATTTAACCATTCATTATAGAGATGAGGATAGGAAGACCTGTATTCCCCATCTTACAAAATGATTATTTACTGTAACAATAATCTTTAGTCATAATCTTTATTTCACAATAGTCTTTGATGCCATGATACACAGAGTTCAAGAACTTGAACTAACTTGAAGTAACACAGTGGAAGTCTTTTGTTAGTGACTTGAAATCAATGAAGCACCACCTTAAAAAGCAGAAAAAGTTCTTCCCAAATGAACACTTCTGTGTAGCTGCTTCACACTTCCAGCCAGCCACTAGATGGCAAGACTATTACAGATTCATAAGAAATGTGGAAAGTGGTTGACAGTGTAAAGCGTAAGTTACGCTGGTTATCTTCTTCATGACATCCTTCCGTGTGGAAGTGTAGCCATAGAAGATACTGATTTTTCCATTTATTTTTTGAACCGATATGTTAAGTTTACAGAAAGCAGTTCAAGAACTGTTACTGTAAATTAAGATGCCCTTCGTGTTTGACTGATACAGAGACTTCCTTAGTAATTTTGTCTCAATTTTGAACATTTCTTATGAATAAAGAAAAAAAATAGTATTCTTTCTGGTTTAGTGCATGATGTTTCATCTTACATTCCTACAATTGCAGGTGCAAAGCTTTGGAGGACCATCACTGGCAAGTAAGTATATTATTTTTAATACATTGGTTATTTAATACCTAATTTTTTATGGTTAGCCTGAAATTAAAAAAAAAAAAAAGCTATTTTCCCTCAGATTACGACCAAATTATTTTGATCTTACCATATTTTCTAAGTTTATTACTGCTTGTTCATAGTTTTTAAAAACTTGTTTTTTCCTGATTTGAGTTGTATTAAAATATATAGTAATATATCAGAAGACTTCTAGAAATACTTTTGCTTACAGCATGATTATCATGCTTTGTATTTTCTGGAAATTGGTGTTTTCTTTCAAGTGGGTAAAAATACTGTCTTGGTCAAGGAGGTAACTTTTAGAACTTCATTATACCATTTCTATTTAGAAGTAGATACGCTTGCTGAGGCTTCCCTTTAAATCAGCACAAGTAATTGATCATTATAACTTCAAATAAACATTAGTTGATATCCATATGAATAAAAATTAATAATTCTGAAGTCTGTTGACTTGCCATTGACCTGTCTCAGGCAAATGTTTATATTGTGTTGTTAGAGTAGAGTATACAATTTATTTAATTTGTTGGCAGTATAATCAGTGTCTCTACATGATTTACAGACAATCCATTTGCAGAATAAAAATCTGTACATTTAAGGTTTTATTCCTCTAAACAGACCACCAGGAATTATTATATATCTGATGTCATTTGAAAGCTTATCCATTAGTACACTATTGTACTCCAACCTGACACTGAAGAAACTGTAATGCAGAATTGAAAAGGGGAAGATGCAGTGTTTTGTTCTCTGCCTGGAGATAGATACCAATGTCATGGCAGTTACAGAAAACAGTTCAGATGTGCAATTTCCTATCTTTAAACTTCTAGAGGTATGAAATATCTTCAGACCTTCTTATAAACATGAATTTATGCCAGGTTAGTTCATGAACTGAGAAGCATACAATGCTTCATTTACCATAGCGAGTGCTACGTTGTGTATCTGTGTAGACTGCCAGTGCTTCAAAAATTTTAGTTGAGAAACCACTGCTGTGGCACCATAGATTAGTGTGATTTGTGTTTTGTTTCTTCCTCCTATTCCTTATGAGAGAATTTTACATAAAATTTACTGTCTTTTGGCATTTTTACATCTGAATTTGCCTATCTGTTTATAAAGAAGATTGCTTGTGGAGTGGAAGGAAACAGGTTTTTGACTGCCTTTTGTTTCTGTGAGAAATAATTCTGCGGTTGGAGACTATTTTTTTTCTCTTACTCTCCAATCTGTCAGGTTCCCAAACCAGAAGAATTGATTTTCCTGAAAAGACTATAAATAGTACTTTAAATATCTTGGATTCAGTTTTTCATGTGTCCAGAATCTTGGACTTGATTTGCTGTTCTGTAGGAAGACAATGTGGAAAAAAGAATTTGATGAGCTCACTGTAGCTTATGCCATTGGGTAATATAATACAAGTACTGTATGTCTCTTTGTAAAATAGTTTGCAGTGGGCAGAACACAAGGTCAGTCCATAAGTCCATCTAGCCCTGTATCTGTTCTCTGAAGGCATGCAGCCAGGAGAAACATGACCTTGGGTAGTGTATAAAAGTAGGACAAGCTTGCAGGGTACTTCCTCTGGTGTACTTTTCCAGCAGCTTCCAATTGAACTTTCTTCACCACCCCCACCCCAAGCTCTTCTAGGTGGACCTTCAGTGAGTTTGTCTCATTGGTTTTGTTCTTACAATCTTCTGCTATTTACAACATGCTATAGCCCAGATATCCACAGCTGAACCTTGTACTTTTTGAACAGTCTTATGTTTATTTACTGCTTATATAATATTTTCCTAATCTCTTCCTACATTTTTTTCACTTTGGAAGAGATACTGAGCAACCGTTCTTTATTAATATTCTTCAGCAAGCTGTGACTTTATAAATTTCTATCCTCTCCAGTTCATGACTACTTAATTGTTCCTAAAATAGAAGTTCTCCATATTTTATGTCTTTATGGTGCTTTTCTGCACTCTTCTTCCATTTCTGTTATCCTGTTTGCCAGAGGGACAGACTTACAAATATCATTCAGGGACACCATTGAACTGTACGTCAGCACAAGAATGCCCTCTCTTCTTTTCATGATAAATCTCAATGCATGGTTGACTTTTTTAGCCTTTATTGAGCTCTGAATTGATGTTTCCATCATTTCAAGATAATGTTCCTGAGTAGTAAAGATCAGCTTAAAGCCCATGTGACTTTAAGAGGGTTTTTTAAACTCTGAGAATCTCTTCTTTCATCTGCCTTTTTGCAAGCGAATCTCATGATAATTGATTAAAATTATGCAGTTCCTCGTAACTGGTCTCTGTCTTTACCAGAATAATTCATCTCATATCCCTTTGCTTCTCAGACTTCATAAGAGCAATTGATAAGAAAGCTTGTTGAAAGCCTTCTAAGTAATCCAGATGAATTTTTGTGGACATCAATGTTTGTCTACAAGCAGTTTGCTCTTTGAAAGGACCTGCATGTCCTTTATTAGTGTTCCTGACAGTTTGCACAGCAGAGCAGAGTCTTTAGTGGTTTGTAGTTCTATGGCTCTTGCTCACCTTCTCTAAAAATAGATGTTGCTTTAGACACTTCACAGTCCTCTGGTGTGAAGGCAGCTTTAAGAGAGGCTGTTTAACATAAATGAAATTTGAACTGTTGTACCCTAGCTTTCATTTATAACTTTTATAAGTTCCCATAAAGACTTTGCATTTGTTTAAACTGTGGGTGGGTGTTTGGATTTTTCTTTCTTTTTTTTTTTTTTTTTTTTTCCTTTCTGAGTGCTAACAGAAATGTGCCTGTTGGTTGTGTTGACATTGGAAGAACTGCTGCTAGATGTTGAGGCTGGGTGCATGGTTGCTTTTCATTTTACTCAGGACTGGACATGAAAAGCTGTTTTCAGGTCACCATGTATAAGCAAGGTGTGCCAAGTGTATCCCCATTCTCTCCGTGTACAGAAAATGCTACCCAGCAGAAAATCACCTGCTCTTAAATAACATACAGAGAAGAAACTTAGTGGTACTTTCAGTGAGAGGCAGTGCCTACTCTAATAAATATCTATTCTAATAAATTAAACATGTTTATGATTTTTCTTGAGCATCATGGCCCCAGGCACAAAACATATGCATCCATAGAATTTAACTACCCTACAGTCCATGTGGAACGGCCCTGTGCAGGCAGGAAAGGATTCCTGGTCTATGTCAATTTTGTAACTACCTTGAGTTGTTTTGGAAAGTGCCTAGTTGGCATGTGCCAAAACTACTAAGGGCTATTTTAATGTTTCAGCTGAGTAACTAACCAATCCTAGTGCCTGACAGCATTGCCACACACAGTGTGGGGTTTTTTTAACAAATATAGTCAGAAAGTAACAAATTACATGAACGGACTCATACCCTGCCTTACCTTTGTGTTATTCTGGTTTTGGAAATCAGTATCAGTCAGTCGCTACTGCACTATGATGTTTGATAAATGGTGGCATAGCTGTCATGTATTTAGTAGTGAAATTGTATCCTTTTTGCTGTTATTTTTGGAAGTAAAACATGTTGATAATTGGAGGATGAATGACTGATTATCACTGTTCTGCAACTTGCATTTTTTCAACATTCACTTGCATCGTATATCTCTTCTGTTGCACATACACTCTGAGTACCAGAGATCCAAGTACTTCAGTGAAGATGCTGTTAATTTGTGGCACTTGTTTTTGGTCCTCTCTGACTTTGTTGAGCACTGCTGACTAGTTAGATCAAGCATAGCCTGCCTTCTTTTTCATTGCCATCATTCAAATGCAAAATGCTAGTTGTCTCCTGTGTAAAATGTGTGTATATAAGAAGACCTGTGCTTCTATTTCTAATGGAGTCATTTAGTACTTTTTTAAGTTTAAAATTTTCAAACTGAAGCAAGGTAAGAGCTCATCCTGAACCTTCCTCAGTTGAAGCAGGCTCCTGTAGCAACTTTTTTTTCCCCTGATTCTGCTTCTGTTTCTGAGGAACTCCTGTAGTGATATCTTGCCTTTTAAAAAAGAGTTAAAGGAACAGTGAAAAAGGTTAACACTTGTTAAATGACTCTTTTTCACTATAAAGCTGTTTTATTTCTTCATATCCTAGTAAGATTTATTTGAAACCTGATGCTTCTCTAGTTAGTAGATGTATTAGAATATGCACAGGACTTGGATATCATTCTTTAGACCGTGAAAATAAGTCCTCAAATGGTTTTCCTGGTCTTGTAGTTTGAAAGAAACTCCTTTTATTCCCAGGTAGACTTGCATGCTCTCCTCTGGTCCCAGTAAGATGGAAATATAAAAAAGTGCAGCACCATGAACCACATGTCTTCTTCAGTGCTGCTCATATGATCAGATCGATCAAGATTTAGGCTTCTGTAAGAAGAAACAGGAACATTACAAGACAAAAAGGACTCTCCTTGGTTGCAGCTTTTAACTTGCAGTTGTCTTTATTGAAGCAGTTTAGGACTTGATGTTGAAAACCATGGGTTAATATAAAAGCTCTCTTGAAGCTCAGTACTTATCCATCTGGGTATTTCTGAAATAACAGCCTTCACTAATAGAAGATTACAAACAGATACAGAGAGGTTGTTGTCCAGCCTAGGACATTCCTGTTTCTCCTCCCTCCTCCAGTCCCTTCTTTTTGTATTCCTTCTGTGAGAGTTAACTGTGGCTTGCGGACTCCCAGAGCTGTCAAAGTTGCTGCTTGCTTCCAGGGTAGTGTTACTGTTTGGTAGGTAACATCCATTACTGGGTCATCAAGTGCTATATCCCTGTTGTGACAAATCAGCTTCAAATTCAGGTCACAACTTTCCAAGACATGACTTCATCTTTCGACCTACATAGATTGCACGCTTGCATCAGCCCAACTCGTAGACATTTGTATGCACTGCAATGGTCAGTGCACTCTGAAAAACAATAGTCTACACTAGCACTGTTCAGAGCTTCAAATAATGTATGACTATTGTTTTGGGGTTTTTTTCCAAGAAGAAGGAAAAATCCTTTGAACCTA